CTAATCTTTCTTTTCTTTTTGGCTGCATTTTTTTATTGTTATCATTTGATTTCCTTTTTATTATTTGTTTATTTAGTTTTTGTTAGCTTTTTCATGCTTTATATGCAAACACTTGTGACTAATTCTAGTTGGATGAGATTTTGTTAATTTTGGAATGTACAACTAGATAAATCTATTTTTCATTTCATTTTTGTTTTCTCGGGTCATGACTGCAAGTCTTTAAAAATAGATCGCAACGGCAAGTTTTCAAAAGGAATCGCAACAAGAAGTTTCAAATGGGATCACAACTACATGTACTCACGGGATCGTAACTACAAGTTTTCAAATGGGTCGCAACTGCAACCTTTCAACGGGATGCAACAACACCTACCCTAGGGCAAATGTGCGTGTTTTTTCATGTGCCCCGCATTCTAGCTCACACTTTCACATTAATGCTTTCTCGCCTTGTCGGCATGTGGGTATTTTGTATTGTCTATTGTCTTACTAATTTTTTTGCTTAGCTGTTTAGTTTTTTACATCTGTGCGACAGCAAGAATTGTAACCCGACCGCAACTACACGGGCACAAAACGACTGCAACTAGGGTCTAAAAGGAGGAGGGTTGTCGTTGCCAGTTGCATGTCCATTACTAGACATGCAATTGCAAGGGTTGTAACCCGACTACAACTGCATGGGCACAATGCTACTACAACAGGGGTCAGTAGGGGGTTGTCGGGCTAGTTGCATGTCCACCACTAGACATGCAACTGCAAGCGTTCTAATTTGAGTGCAACTGCAAGTGTTGTAATTTGAGTGCGACTGCATGAGTACAAAGCGACCACAACTGCATGGGCATATATTGACTCCAACTGAGGTCGCGGAGGCAGGGTTGTCCTAGGCAGTTGCATGTCCACCACTAGACATACGAATTCAAGCGTTGTAACCCGACCGCAACTGCATGGGCACAAAGTGACTACAAATGGGGTCGGAAGGGAGGAGGCTTGTCGTGGCCAGTTGCATGTCGACCACTAGACATGCTACTGCAAGCGTTGTAACCCGACTGCAACTGTATTGGCACAAAGAGATTGCAATTGGGGTCAGGAGGGGTTGTCGGGCTAGTTGTGTGTCCACCACTAGACATGTAATTGCAAGCGTTGTAACCCGACTGCAACTGCATGCGCACAAAGCGACTGCTATTGGGGTCGGGAGGGGGTTGTCCAGCTAGTTGCATGTTCACCACTAGACATGCAACTACAAGTGTTGTAACCGACTGCAACTACATGGGCACAAAGTGACTGCAACTGAGGTAGGGGAAGAGGGTTGGCTGCCAATTGCATGTCCACCACTAGACATGCAACTGCAAATGCACAAAGCAACCGCTACTGGGTCGGGAGGGGAATTGTTGAGGTTAATTGTATGTTTACCCCTGAACATGCAATGACAATCATTCTACCCCAAATGCACGGACACAAAGCGGCAGTAATTAAGGTCAAAAGGAGAGTTTTTGGTCCAATGGCATGTCCATGACAATACATGTAACTGCAAACATAGTACATGTCCACAAAGCGACTGCAAATAGGGAGCATGAACGGTTTACTACTTGTCTATTTTTTATCTTAGCATCACATATGTAGATTTTCTATCATTTCCTCCATTTTATAGAACATTTTAATGTCTATTTCCAGCCTAATTTTTTATTTCGTTTCATGCAACCCAACTCCAGTGTTTCCCATAAGAAACCAACACACTGTTTTTTAGAAGAACACACTGTTGATTAAAGAAAAAACGGATGCATCAGACTGTGTTACAATGAGAGAGAGAAAGACAAACCTAGCCAGCATTAAAAAAACAAGTACAAGAAGGCCCAGCAAAGCGATTGAACACCTCACAGAAAAAGCAACTATACAACCCACGCGGATCTAGCCCAGCCCAAAAGAAAAACAACCTAAACGAGGGAAACGATCGGGTCGCTGACAAGCTGAGCGACAAAGAAAAGCTAGTCCAAAATCGACACCACATCAGACACGTCATCTAACTGAGACCAAATTATGTCTCAGTCACCTGAGTTCTAGGCGGCCCCTACTTTTAATATATAATAGATAATATCTTAATATACCATGTATAGGTGATTATAAGATATAAATAATAATTATAAGTTACATGTACTCAATGAAATCAACAATTGAAA